GCCCACGTATCAGATATTAAACTGATAAGAACAGATACTACACTTGATCTTAGCCAAAAGGCCGAGAAAGGTATGCTTTGAAACGGGGTATGCACGCCTTTTTTATACTCAGCCTCCTGCTCTTGCTTCTAAGTTTAGTCGATGTGGGACAAATTGCTTCCCTCATTCTCACGCTAAGGACCATTCTTTTCAAACCCCTATTGAGATGAGTGAGGTGCACATCCTTAAAAGATGAATCACGATTCTTGGTTGTTTGAAACAAAAAGTTAGTACAAGTGATCAATGTATTAGTTGGCACATCGTCTCATGTCTGGCTCTGATACTATTTCGGGCTTCTTCTCAAGATTTTAAAAGGGTTCAACGTCCTCGTTAGCATGTTGTTTCGTGTTCAGCTTTGATACCACCTTCTCCATTCCTAGCTTCCCCTCGAGGTTTTAAAGGGACAATGTTTTCGTTGGCACACCGTCTCGTGTTTGACTCTTACACCACTCCATTGGGGGTCCAACGTTCTCGTTGGCACACTGCCTCGTGTTTTGCTTTGATATCACCATTCTCCTCGGGGACCCAATGTCCTCGTTGGCATATCGCCCCGTATTTGGTTTTGATACCATTTGTAATACTCAAATCACTACTAATAAATATTGTCATTTTTGGATTTTCTGTTTTGAGGTTACGCTTAAGATTTTAAAACGCTCCACTAGAGAGATATCTACACCTTATAAGAAATGTTTTATTATTCTCTATAATCGAGATTGAATCGATCAAATTAATCTTAGGGCACGAATGAAACGGTAATTTTTCATTCATCATCCATCCATGTTCTTTTTGCCGAGCATTACAATTTAAGGAACGAAAGTAAAACTGTAAATTTCCAAATTTTAAACTCGGTAAGTCTGAGAGATGAAAAGTTTTTATTAACTCTTGATGACGTGGTAAAAATACTTTGGTAAAAGAGTAGACACAGATATTGGCTGTCAAAACGCCACGTGGCGTCAAAATAAGCCGCTACGTGGAACCTATTCTTATTTGGACTTCTTTCTCTCTGTGGAAACTTCAACTAACAAATCAGAGACTCACTGCATCATTTCCAGAGCGGCGGACCGACGGACCGACGGAGACATGTTTCGAACGGCGGCGAAGCGTCTGATAGTCGGCGTGACCTCCGGCAGAAATGGCATTCCCCGTCTCAGATTGCCATCGCCTTCCACCTTCCTCGATCACTGTCCCTTCTCCACAGCTACTGATTCACAAGAACTTCCTAATTCTCAAATCCCCAATCAACACCATATTCGTCAAGAAACGCTTTCTTCTTCTGATTCTGCATCTTCTTCATCTTCTTCATCTTCGACTTGGTCCTCATCAACCTCGGGCGAAGAAAGCCGAAGCCATGAGAATCGGCGGCCGAGAGTTGAGTATCAAGAGGAGCAGGCTCGCGTCCTCCAGGCCGCTCTTTCCCACGTGGTCTGTCCTCTCGTCTTTTTTCTCTTTATACTCATATTTTTAATCATAACTGAAAGTTCTGCACAGCCAAATGGATGCCTCTTTTCGATTCTGTCAGAAATTTTGTTGAGGGTTCCTAATGATTATGTATTATGCTATAACATTTTGGACAGTAATTTCATATTTCTCCGCTGGTTACTGTAACTAGCATCTAGGGCTGACATTGTGGAATGAATTGGGGTTTTCCTTGTCTGCTTCGATCTTTAGGTCTTTCAAGGTTTAGAGATCTCAATTCTAATTTTGCGTTTGTGAAATATTACAGGTGAAGCTAGGATGGACTGAGGCCGCAATGATTGCTGGTGCAAGGGATATTGGCATGTCACCTTCCATTGTTGGATCATTTTCCAGGAAGGAAGCCGAATTAGTTGAGGTATTCTCCCGTTTCTTGATTTTTTTTCACTTTCCCCATTTACATCTTGGACGACCCGTTTGATTCAGTCATGTATCGGTTAATAAGCATGAAGTTCTTACCCTTGACTATTAGTTACTTCAAATTATGTAGGTTTCATATCTTCTGATCCTAGTTCATTAAATCTATAAAATTATATAAAAAAAGCTCCAGTCAGTGTTGGAAGAAGCTCCCTGTGCTATGTTTTTGCTTGGGGTTGTGGCACTATGTTCATCTCTTACACATACGTGGGCTAAAAGCTCCTGTAAAATATGCTTGTTGCTACACTTCACCATCATTGCCGAAGATACATTGTTATTTATAATTTGTTCTTATTAGTTCCTATTACTTTTAAGTTTAAACGGCCCGATCACATGCTCGTCTTATTTGCTATTAGAAGTTTTAAATCGTCTTTTAGGATGTCACAAACAACTATAGCCGATGGTTTAGTCTAATTGACTTTCTATCACTAGTAGCTAGCATTCCTTTTTATGTTGTTCTGTTTTGGAAATTAGCTCCAAGTTCCTATTTAAGGTTCAATTGTTTGATAATGTGCTGAGGGATCATTTGCAAGTTGTAACATGGTTTAACTGAGTTTAAGTTGCTTCTCTCTTCTACTAGTCTGCCAAATTGGGTCAAGTGATTTACATTCTCTTTTCACTTTCAGTTTTTCATGGATGATTGCTTACAGCGGCTTATCGATCTAATTGAGACAGACGAAAGCCTTAAGAATTTGGTACTTCGTGAACGTGTTTACAAACTTGTTAGGGCTCGCCTAGAAATGCAAGCTCCCTTCATATCAAAATGGCCTCAGGCTCTCAGTATCCAGGTATCATTCTCAGTACTGTATGCCCTTTGACATCTTTGACATGAAATATCTGATCAGGGTCTTGAAAAGTAGTAGTAATTATGAGCTGGTCCAACAGGCACAGCCAGCAAATCTAGCAACTAGCTTTAAACAACGGGCAACCCTTGTTGATGAGATATGGCATGCTGCTGGCGGTGACACCTCTGACATTGATTGGTACGTCAAGCGCACTATTTTGGGAGGAATATACTCAACAACCGAGATATACATGCTCACTGATAGTTCTCCAGGTGCATTTTCTCAAGTTCCTCCACATTGAGTTTGAATTTGCATTAATTCTAATTTTTTTCCCTTTGCATCGTATTCCTTGATGGACGAATTGTTGTGTACTGTACATAGGATTTTTTAAAACCTCTTTGCCTTCGGTTCTATTCTTTAATGTCGTTGATCATTGATAGACATAGCTTGCAAACTTCTCTATAATGTGTTCAATTGATAGCCTGCCCTTTTTTCCCTTCCCTGCAGATTTTCTTGATACATGGGCTTTCTTGGACAATCGTTTGAAAGATGCTTTTGATATAAAGAAAACCGTTCAAGAGGTATCGCTCGTGCACTTTCAATTCGGAATTTTTAATATTTCCTTAATGAGGAAATTTCTCTGAAGTTCTAATTTTTTTTGCCGCATATTTAACTGACCATGCAGGTCAAGTATCTGGCAGAAGCTGTTGGTGCTGGAATGGGGAACTCCTTTCAGGGATTTGTTGGAAAACTTTTCCAGCGATAGATAAATGACAACAACCTTTTAAATTCGACTGTTTTAGTTCCTAGAGTGAGGAGTCGCTTGTTTTGTGTTCTTAGTCTTGCATACTTTGCCCATTCATCTCAATATGGATATATCCAGAGAGGTGAATTTGAACTTAGAATTCCATGGAATTGTGAGAAACATAAATGAGTCCTGGTATTCTTTGTTTAAAGCATAAGAACTTTGGTTTCACAGTGCTGTGTTCAGCAGTTATCTTGAAATTAGTATTACCACTTTTATTTGTGTTACATGCACGGTTCTTACATTAACTCTACATAAGAAATATGAATTTTTTAAAGAAGTTCTGTGCAGATCAAGGTTTAGGAAGGCGGCTGCGATAGAATTTTTATTCTACTGAAGATTGAAGTGATGTTCGTTGTTCCAAGTTTCTTCTTGAATGAAAGATATCAAGATTTTGCACCACTTCATTTCCATGAAATAAAGGTAACAACTTGTAGTTCATTTTCAGTACTAAAGATCAAATCCTCTCTAGCTTTCTTCTAGTGAAACTAAGTTGCAGCATTTTCAGTTCTTTTTCTAGAATTTGGAAGTTGGAATGATTTTAAAGTAGTTCTAATTTATTCGTTTCAGCTACCAATGTGTTGGAACCTGATTTACCTGCCTCCGCCCATTCTTGGTCATGAAATAGAAATAAGTGGTATTCTTATAATTGGGCTACCAACCCCAGTCTAGTAAATTTTTTTAGTAAAAATCATGATATAATGTTCTAGTAAATCACATGAATCTAGGAATGACATATTGTATTTAATCTGTAGTTTGGTCGGTATCAGTTTTGGACTCGAATCGATGTTTACACTGATCAATTGACTTTCAATGATTGTTTTGAAGAGTTTGGATGTGTTGATCGATTGACCATTTGTAATTTGTTTTTTTAGGTTTAATAATCATTACCTTGGAAAGACAAGTTAAATGAAGATGCGACAACAGAATACATGCACCCAACCCAACTTATAATATATCGATAGTTTAGTTTAGTCGACTTAAACTTCTTTAAGCCTTAAGTCGATTGATTAAAGTCGTTATATAGTTAGTTAGTTCAATATTTCGATCCTTGATGTTCATCTAATTTTTGAGGGTGAAAGTTACACGTAAATTCAAGCAAATATCCGAGTTTGCTCTTTAGTTTCAATTTCAAACCATGTAAACAACAAACACAAAACAAAAATGAGATACACAGTAATTAAATGCTTTGCAGTTAATTATTTTATTTCGATTTCTCCGTGTGTTTAGGAGGAACTCTCCGATCATATCACCGATATCCCGATGATAAACTTAAATGGAGCCAAATGTTCGCAAACTCACATCTCCAAAAAATATGATCGAGTAACAGAAAGAAACGTGTCCAGTTTAAAACGAACCAGTGAAAATGACCCTACCTCTCTCTTTTTGTGAGCTAAAGTGTAAGAATATTGGTCATTTCCACAGTTCTTGTGGGCTTCTCTGGTCTTGATTTCATGCTACAAGACAATGATTCGGCTCTCTAAGACAAAGCTTTTGCTTTTCTGAGTGAGTTTATATAACAGACGCTGTAATTGTGACGAACATCCCCAGCTATTCGAGAGTGTTTCTTAAAGGATAAATTTGAGCTCAGTTTCAATTCCTCCAAGCTGTTAGATAAGAACAATAGCTAAACATTTGAACAAACAATCAAGCAACCAAGCAAGAAAGTGATGTCTTGTGATCTTTCCTTTGGCAGTGGTAGCTTCTCAGATTTCTAAAACAATATCTGCACAAGAAATGGAAACAAACAGTCAGAATTTTGTGTACCTGATGGAACTAGAAAGTTGATACTGATTATATTGTTCATACTGACATTCAGAATCAGTCTGGACCCATTTACTTCCATCGCACTTCTTGTCGTTCTTTCCGTTTTCGTTTTCGTTTTCATATTTTTGCTTGTTTTTCCTCTTCAGGTACTTTTTCATAGATGATGTTCTGACATTGGAGTTTTGAGGGTATATCTTCTTTTGGAGTATTGTCCTCAACATCTGATTCAGAAACAGTTTTATCAATATTTGACTACAAAAGTCATCAACACTGATCCCACCAGAACAGTAATCAGAGAATTTGAGTTCTTGATTTTACCTTCTCCATTTTCGACTCCAGAGTTATGATTCTCGGAGGAGGAGCAACTGTAGCGGGTGCGATACCACCTCCGCAGACGAAAATCTTCTTGAGAAGGAAGGATAAAGTTCTCTTGCCAATGACTGTAGTGTCGTGAGCTCCCGTACCTGCATCTTTGTTTTTGCTGAGTATGACATGCTGGAAACTATCGCTCTTCTTTATCAGCTCGTCGTAAAATAGTTCGTTCTTTGATGTTTCGGATTCGAAGCTTCTGGTAAGAAATATGTTTGATGGACAATGCTGGCTGACTTCAAATTCCAAGGATGGACCCGATTGCTCAAGGTGTTCATCCAATAACAGATTGAACTCTTTGTGAAGTATGTTTAGTTCTTCAGGTGTAAGATCTTGAAGATGTTGTTCCAGGGAAGATGATGGATTCTCCTGAGACCGTTTTGGGCGTGCTTGATTCAGATTATCGTCTCCGAACGTTCCAATCGCCAGCAACACATGAGGCCAGCTGCTGAATTCTTCAGGGAGAGTTCTGTGCACCATCTCACCTGTTTGAGCAAGAATTTCAAGCTATTTGCACTCAAATCGTCTAAAAGATCATCATCGAAACGAGTTCACTCTGTAAATAGAAACGAAAATAAAAGAAGAATATAGTCTTCCTCACCCTTGGTTGAATTTGATGTTGTTCTTTTGCTCCCCTTTCTGCCATTAGTCTTCTTCCCTTGCATCCAACTCAATATCTGCAAACAAAAACGAGTCGTAATTAATCACGGAGAGTAAACACCAACTTTCGAATACAAAATCATGACAAAACACTCTTGCATTAACTTACCCTCATCTGTCACGTCGAGTTTGCAACAGCGATACACCCTCTTCTTTATCCCCTTTGAGGCCTCTAGTTCGAGTTCGAATTCTTATCGATAAGGCCAGATAGAGCAAGGTCTAGAGAACTATACCTCACCAAGGCAAGATGAGAGTGCAAAACACTTTATATAGTGAAGAGAAATGTGAGAAATTCCACAACCAAACTACTAGCTGCCACTGTTTCAAGTTCCAAAAAGTCGACTCTCTTTTTCTCTCTCTCGGGTTGGTCACATCTTTGTCTCCCTATTACAACGTCTTTTCCCCTCATATAAGTATTCAATCTCTCGTCTTTTCGATCAACTTTGATAAAAAAGAACGAGCCTATAGACCCTTCTTGTCTGTACACCACCTCATCATTTAAAGAACCCATATAGCCTTGCCCAACACATCAGTTCATCACATGTGAAAAAGCCTAACTTTATACCAATATCTTTACACAGACAGATATAAAAACTACAACACAGCTCAAAAAACACACACCATAAACAGGATATAATGCAGTTTAACAACACATCAAAGAGCTGGCTATCTTCTTTGGATCGTTCGTCTTCGAAGATAAAGATTTCATTCTACATCCATTATTACTTGACATGTTTCTTATGATAAAGATTATCATACTGATACAGAAAATCCGTGCAGGACGATGGACAATGAAGAAAAGGACACGAGAGACTGAGCTATCACGCACGAAGAAGATTTGAGGAAGAACATCTCTTTTATCAGAGATATTAAATAATATATATATATATGGGTGGCCAATGGAAAAAGGTAGGCTTTGAGGGCATATCAGATACGTTATGTATATTATATTATATCATATAGCCCACATTCTCGTGGGGATGTCTCTCACTGACCGAACCACCAGGGTGCATATCCTAAATCTCACTAACTCGAACCATTTTCCCATTTATACTTCCTTCCCTGTTGCTAATTCAGAGCTTATAATTGTTTCAGAATCCTCCAAAACTAGCAGTCTGGTTTCTCTTTCTCTCTCTAATAAAGCAGGGGAATCGCCACCATGGAAAGAAATATGCAGGACAACTTTTGAGCACGTGAAGCTGTCCATGGCTTGCACTCAAATGGGCGGTGGACATCTAACCAACCCATATCAGACCATGGAATGAGGCTTTTTACAGGAGGAGCAGGTGAGAGTTCTATACAAAATAATACTTGTTCTATGAGGACCCTACACTCTGATGTCATTCATCCCTTCAAATAGTGTCTAAAGAATTGTTTTGTTGGTGTCGTTTAATGAACAGTGCATTGCAGGGAAGGTGAATTCTCGACGAATATGTCCTTGTTTCGACCATTTGTGAATAACTTGTCAATACTAGGGAAGCTAGAAATAAAATAAAAACTGCCCCATTTGCAGGCAGAGGAGGCAGAGGATCATACATTGTCATGGGCTAATATTAGCTAATCAGAAACAGAGAAGAGTTTAAAGCTTAGAAGCTACAATATATAACAAGTTTGAACACTTCTAAAGGTGGGGGAACTGAAGTTTGTAATATAAAGTTTGTTTTTATTCTTTTCGAGTTCATGTGTGGTTCGGTTCACGTAAAAAGGTTACATACAATTCTGGGACTTTCAGAAGAGAGAACCAAAGAAAGCACTTGTTGTATACAAACTAGTTTACATATGTGGTTTACAGCAGAATAATCAGGTATATGGGCTGTTCTAATCCTAATATGAACTTTAGGTTTTAATAAACAACATACATTTTCTTGAATGAACTGTGTAAAAGACACACTGCTAATGCAGCTAAGAATGACGAACCTTGAACAAATTTTGAATCAGGTACCTATGAGCCAGTCTGATTGTTGCAGCACATATCTAAACAACAGTCGAAACAACCGAAGCAGGCAAAAGCAGTGCAGAGTTGTGTCAACACGATCGCACATTGATTATTGATTTTGAGGCAGACTTGGATGCAGCAGGGACAACAGCAGAGACTACACAAATTGCCACAACAATTAGAAGCTGCTTTGACAATTATTTCCGCTGCCTCGGGCTTTCTTTCACCGGTTCCAAGAGAAGTGTTATCAGAAGTTGCTTCCAGGTTTCCAAAGCCGACACCACAGAATGGTAACAATGCCATTTTGTCACCTTTAGGTGCTACCATTTTCTCGTAAGCGTTCTTCTTCGACTGTAAAGTTATTATAATGGGCAATTGAATTGTTAATAACCAAGTGCCTGCAACTCGAGTTTGAGGTCATGAGGGTGTAAAGCTGCGCTCACCTGTTGCACTTTTATCGATTCGTTGACTTTGTCTACGCTCTGAAATATGACCATCCGAGTATACTCGCTCATTACACCCGTTTTTGTGCTCATCTTTTTGATCTAGAAGGTATGAAATAAAGCATCAGATATCAATATCTCTATCATAGCAAATTCGAAACTCGAAAGAACTTCAGTGCTAAGAAAATAAAAATCTTCTTGGTTGTGTCTGATGTAAACGAAAACGAGACAAACGTTCAAAAGTTGAGGGTAAAAATCACAAACCATTTCCACCAGTTGTTTATTCTCTGAAGACCATGCCTCAGCTGTGAATTGTTCAATCTGATCTTTAGCAAATAACTGTAAAACAAGAAAAGATTAAAGACTTCACCCATTAAGTTTCTACAACCAGTAAGAAATTCAGGCACTTTGACCATATAATGCTGATTCCCTACCTACCTTTTCAAGAGGTATATCCTTTGCCTGATGTACCTTCAGTTCTAAGACAGTGTTATCCGAATTGGCTAAGAGGCCTCTTGCCTTAACAGTCTCTGGAAAATCTCCACGGTATCGGCCAGATACGGTCAATATACTCTCAGAAGAAAGGTCGGGAATTGAGGAAGGATAAACCTAAAAGAAAGCTTGAAATTAGAAAACGAACGTGTTGACTGGAAGAACGATTTATATTTCATGCTGCAGGAAAGGGCATGCCTAAATACTAGATGACAATGTATCAAACAAAAGAATATGCATACCTTGACTTCATCTAGATCATCGAATGCGTTGACGGCAATATTAACCAAAATAGTGGATGTAGCTCTTTTGTACAACTTCTGCATTCGTGGTTCGATCGAATCTGAAAAACGAAATGGTTACAAATGTATTGAGTCTGACTTCACCGAAGAACAACAAATAGAGAAGAAAGAGTTTAATAATTAAATCCATAATATACAGTTTTAAGGACTGGAAATGTCAATGTGTGCATTATCAGATCTATGATACAAAGATTTATGGTTCAACTCTATGTCGAAACCACCCGTCAAGCATCTAAACTATTCAGTCATTTCCAAGGAGCTGGACAAAAGATGAATTTGTGCCTGAAATACGTCAATCGAGTTCTGTGATAGCTAAACAGCATGATCGCAGTCGATATAATTCATTACTAGTACTTCCAATACTGCTTTTTGATGTTTAGTCCATAAATTAATGAAGAAGGTTGGAAAGAATTTAAAATTGTAAATCTATAGTGAACGGTTAATAGAGGGCATACAGATTTTGGATATTGATCCAACCGTCATTAGGAGGTAGACACATTATGGTGGTTCAATCGAGTAATTTTCCCCTTAAACGAGAGAAGAAACAGGGTGAAGTACAAAAACTCACCTAAATCATAAGCAGCATCATATTGGCCCCTGCCAATCATTGCAAGCATCCTTAGAAAATAGTGGTTGCAAAATGTACCTGGTAGATGTGTGAAATCTCAAAAACAAGTATAGATACCCGCATGAACGTTGAAACAACCGTAAGTGCAACTTAATCTCGACAAGGACGAATTTCCTCAATCCATAAGTTATAGAATGGTCAAAGCTCAATAAGACTTTCAGGCAGTTCTAGATTAAGACCAGAAACATACCTATACCGAACGTATATATACGTGGATGAACGGATTGCTTTTCTGTTTGATTTTTTCGCATCACATCACAAATATGTCTCTCATTTTGGACGGAGCCATCAGTAACAAGAAAGATTATTGGAACTGAACCACCAGTACCCCCATCATTCAGCATCTCACTGGCCTGGATAATAGACAAACAAAAAATTTATGTGACTGAAGTTGAGATATTTAAGTAGAAAAGAACATAAAGAAAAAGGTTGATTGACCGAGTTAAAGAAAAAATATAGAATGAAGAGATTTCAGTTCTTCAAAAAGATGACAACTCCCACCATCTTTTCTTTTAAGATCTAGGGTGGTATCAGGGGCTGAATCTTGCATTAGCCCAAGCCCATCACTAGCAGATATTGTCCTCTTTGGGTTTTCCCTTTCGGGCTTCCCCTTAAGGTTTTTAAAACGCGTCTGTTAGGAAGAGGTTTCCACACCCTTATAAAGAATGTTTCGTTCCTTTCTCCAACCGAGATGGGATCTCACAATCCACCCCCCATAGGGACCAACGTCCTCACTAGCACACCACTCGGTGTCTGGCTCAAGCCCACCGCTAGGCGATATTGTCCTCTTTGGGCTTCCTCTTTTGGGCTTCCCCTCAAGGTTTTTAAAACGTGTCTATTAGGGAGAGGTTTCCACACCCTTATAAGGAATATTTCGTTCCCCTCTCCAACCGAGGTGGGATCTCACAATCCACCCTCCTCGTAGGCCAAGCGTCCTCATTGGCACACCACTCGATGTCTGGCTCAAATACCATTTGTAATAGTCCAATCCCACTGCTAGGTGATATTGTCCTCTTTGGACCTTCCCTTTCGGGCTTTTCCTCGAGATTTTTAAAACGGGTCTATTGGGGAGAAGTTTCCACCCCTATAAAGAATGTTTTGTTCCCTTCTCCAACCAACGTGGGATCTCACACTGTCCATCCTAGGCCACCATCTTACATTTATATCACCTAAACTTTTCTTCCACAAGTAAAAATACTCGATCAAACAGTACTTATACGTATTGTACGCCTATGCGTTTTCAGTGTTAAGAACAAAAATTCATTTGAAAGCATAGTTGTCTAACAGCATCTGAGAATCGAAGACGATTAAAAGATCCACGAGAATAATAGATGAAAAAGATGTAAGATGGGATACCTTTGTTAATGGAAGTAGAATATCCGTGCCACCCCCAGCAATAAGGTTCAAATTTATCCACTGAAGGGCCCTTTCAACAGCATCCTCGGTGGCCAACTCCATGGATTCTGAGAACTGAAAAGCTTCCGAGTTGAAAGCAATAACATTAAACATGTCTTCTGGAGGAAGCTTACTCACGGCTATGGATAGCACGTTTTTCACATCGTTTAGTGCCTTGCCTTGCATACTCTCACTTATATCGACAACAAATATTATCTTCTTTCTGGCGACCTGTAAAATTCGTTAAGATGAGTATTCATATGACTTTCTGGATATTAAGAACAGATTAAGAAACTCCATACAACCTTTCCCTGTTCCTTTCCTGGATATAAGTACATGCAGAACATCTCTCTTTGATCATCATCATCCACAGGAGGAGACTGTAGGAGAATACCACCGAATATTTGACTCGAAGAAACCTACAACATACAAGAAGGACGAGACGCGAAAGATTTAAATGCTGAGCATATATGAATAAGCTTGTCACAAGCCTGTACATTCTTCTCCAGAATACCAATATCGATGAATGTGAGACGTACACTGTATGAGAAGTTAAGATTGATTTTCGACCATGAAAGAACTTCCGATTCGTATATAAAGCTCAGTTTTCCAGGCTTTCTCATTGATTCCTGGATCCATTACGGAACAACATTACAGACTGAAACAACAAGCAAAACCATTGATTACTCAAAACATTAGCATACAAACCTTTAAAGGATGACTCGTCGTCTTGCATAAAACCTCAGCTGCAGAACCAACATTCACATTTAACGCTATCTTCTCCTTTTTCGACATCTTCTTCCCTGCAGGGATGACATATTCAGGAAAAGTAAATGGAACGTTCAAGGTGAGATTGCCTGCGCTGTATCGTAGTTTCTGAGACCAAGTCATGGAAATAGACAAGGTGGTGCCCCCATCAACCTTGAAAAGAAACAGGAAAACACAGACTTCCATAAGTTCAAATGATCAAAATCATTAGCACTTACAAACAAAACAAACATTCATGAGTTAACGTTTATCACCTGTGGAATTGTGATGGTAAAGATATTAGAAGTCAAGAAACCTCCATCTAATTGTTCTTGTTTTTCTGCACCATTTTTAGTTTTTTCTTCAACTGTAATAAGCGAAGTACGATATGACTTTCTAGGATCATCGACCTCACAGCCTAGAACTGAGCCCTGTTAGCCAAATAATATCATTCCCTGAGAATCCAGTACAAAAAAGAAGAACAAAAGACCAAAAACTCAGGCACGTTGTAAGAACACCTTATGTTCTAGGAATCAAAAACCAAACAATCCAACAAAATCAAACCCAGCAGGAAAGGGCTCATAAGGATCATAATGACCTCGACATGATTCTTCGTGTAAACTAGACTCTAATTAAGCCCTAAAAACACCCAACGAGCCATTCAATTCAGAATCCCCACGAAAAAAAGCGTTTCCAGAGAAATACCTGTTCCCCCATGGGAATCGCAATGCGGCAATCACAGCTCCGGCTACCCATAACGCAGTGAACCCTCCAAGACCCAGTGATCCGAATAATCGCTGTATCCAAATAACAATCAGCCTGCAGTTCAATTCCATTCATCTGAAGCGGAATCAGAGCCGGTGGGTCGCAGCGGCCATGAACGTGGGGCTGGTAGCTCGGAATATCAGGGTTATCAACGATTGCAGGATCACGAATTACAGCATAAACCATCGGAGCCGCAGGGAGAAATGAGTGGCCCATCCTATCCATCGAAGGGAACGACCTAGGAGGCGCGACGGCTCGGTCTTTGCCGAAGTACAGTCTCTTGGAGAGCCGGAGCCCATCATCGACGGCTTTAGCGAAATCTTCCGCCATTGAAAGACAGAGATTCTTAAGGAGAAGAAGAAATTTGAAATGGCTCTGAAAATGAGACGATCGAAAGATGAAGAACAAGTTATCGTAAAAGGGGGACTTCAAAACACGATTCGAAACGTTTTCTTCTCTACAATTTCATTGAAATTTCTGGTTCCATGAATGAATTAGGATTGAAGATAAGGAATCCGCTTTTTGTGAAATAAAATTTGGACCTTAAAGATGATTTTATTAACACTAATCACAATTTACATGCTGCAAACTTATCATCTTTCTTTAATGAATTTGTCTTTATGATGAACGATTAAATCATTGGGACCCATTTTCTAACGGTTGGATTGAATTTTCAAACTTTCCCATATTCAAATATTTATATTTTTTTAATACAGCTTTAAATTTTTAAAACTAAAATACAATAAAGCAAAAATAGACATAATAAAATTGGCATAAATTTATTATTATTAATTTCTATATTAAATTATAATTTATTTTTTTTGTCTGATAAATCTATATATTTATTATTTTTAATTGCGATGTCCCACATTAGTGGGAGGAGGAGAACAACCTACCATTTATAAAGGTGTGGAAACCTTCTCTAGTAGACGCGTTTTAAAGCCTTGAGGGGAAGCCCAAAGAGAACAATATCTGCTAGCAGTGGATCTGGGTCGTTACAAATGGTATCAGAGCCAGACACCGGACGATGTGTCAGCCTTCTTGCAATTCCTCGAAGGGGATAGAAACGAGGTAGTGTGCCAGTAAGGACATTGGCCCCAAAGGAGATAGACACGAGGTGGTGTGCCAGTAAGGACACTGGCTCCAAAGGGGGTAGATTTGGGGGCGGTCCCACATTGATTGGAGGAAGGAAAGAGTGCAAGCGAGGATACTGGGCTCGAATGGGGTGGATTGTGATGTCTCACATTGGTGGGAGAAGAGAACAAATCCACCATTTAATTTTATATATAATATATTAGTTAAATTAAAAAAAATATATATTGAAAATATGTTAAATAGAATTTTACTATTTTTTAACACTAAAATAATTATTAAAAAATATATGTCAATTAGTGATGAATTATGTCGTGTCTCACTTTTAGTTATTTATTTTTTTCTCTATTAAATTATATTAGTGATTAAAAAAAAGTTGCTTTCCATTTTAATTGAAATAATTAGGTAAAAAGATTATTATTATAATATAAATCGAAACTTTACGGATTTTCCATAAAAGAAAATATAAAGCTTATCCGTTTATAAAAAGTTAATTTAAATTTTTATTAAAAAAAAATAAGAAAATTATTATTAATAAAAATTTTGAAAATAAATATGTAATAATTTTCAGACAAGACAATTAATTAAAACAACGGTGGTGGTCGGGGGAAAATTATTGAACCTAGTGGGCTTTTTTTTTATTATTATTATTAAAAATATCATTTTTTTTTGTTATAATATTTGTACTTTTAATAAATTTTAAATTATTTTAATTGAAAAATTGGAATATATTTTTAAAAATTATAACGATTTTTTTTTCAGACTATGAATATATATTAATAGATAATTATTGATTTTAAGCGAATTTTTCCTTTTTTCTTATTTTAGAATAATAATAATTATTATTATTTTTTTGTGGGAGACAAAAAGGCATGATGTGACTTAAAAGCTATGAAAAGAAAATATTAAAAATAAGGCAATAATGGAAAAATTAATGAAAGGCTATTTTTTATTTTTAAAATATATATTTACACTGTTAATTTTAACCGATATATAATTAATATAATTGTTGCTATCGTTCGAGTTATGACAAGAATTACAATGGCATGAAATCCCATCCTCGTTATAGTGCAATCATCTAATTTTTATAGTTTAAGAATATTTTTTAAACCGTTCGTTTGGTATAATCATTCCAAAGTACGATCGTCAAAGCTTTACTCTAGTTTGTTGGACGATGAAAATTCCACATTGGCTAATCATCAAGAATACTCTCAGAGTGTGAAGTCTTTTGAAAAGCTCAAAGCAAAAGTCATCCAAAGCACGATCATCAAAGCTTTACTCCAGTTTGTTGGATGATGAAAGTCCCACGTCGGCTGATTTAGGGAATGATCATAGTTTATAATTAAGAATACTCTCGGTGTGAAACATTTTGAAAAGCGCATAGCAAAACCATGAGAGCTTATACTCTAAGTGGACAATATCATACCATTGTGGAGAGTTGTGTTCGAAAGTAGTAAAAAATGACTAAGACTCCTAAGGAGTCGAGCCTCGATTAATGGGAGGTGCATTTTATTTGAAGGGAGGTGTTGGATGGATGATAAAAGTCCCACGTCCCCTAATTTCAATCTCTTCTCAATTATGAAGCATCCAATTAGGCGAGAAATTGAATCGTTTTGTTTGTCTGGGTTTCTTTTTTCCGTTTAATTTCTTGTAAGCATAATGGGTTTGGATTCGAAAACTGGCGGCGAAGTCGGAGCGGATAGCTCTCTTCGGTCCATCTGTTACAAGAAGGGCTCCTTGCGGCTGCTCGATCAGGTAGTGTTCGGTTTTTTTTTGTTCTTCAAGCTTGAAGAACTATATTAAGACTCTTTAATCAACAGAGGTTGTTCTTGAACAGAGGAAGCTCCCTTTGGAATCTGTTTACCTGGACATCAAGGATGCAACAGATGGACGGTAATCTATTGCAATCTTCGTCTAATCTGGCATTATTCTGGGTGTTTTTATCTAATTCACATGCTCTTTTGAACAATCCCCTTGAACATCACGTTCTTTTGAACTTTGAACTTTGAAGATTTGTGAAATACTAATGCATACCTGAATTGGTCTAGTGTTGGACTTGTGTGTTTAACTCGTATTTGATGAATTTCTTAGAAGTTTTGTAACTGTTGGATCAAATGATGGTCTAGTAGATTATGTTAGGTAGACAATCGTGTAAGCTTGTATGCCCACCGTTAGTAGATGTTGTCTTCTTTGGGCTTTTCCTTGTGAGATTCTCTTCATGGTTTTACAACGCGTATGCTAAAGAGAGGTACGGATGTGGGATCTCACAAGTCACCCCTCTTTGGGGCTCAGCATCCTCGCTGGCACTTGCTCCCTTCTCCAATCGATGTAGGACTCTTAATTTCACCTCCCTTTGGGACCCAGCGTTCTCACTAGCACACTGCCTGGTGTCCTCCCCCTTCGAGGTTCAGCCTCCTAACTGAAACATCGCCCGGTTTGGCTCTGGTACCATTTGTGCCGGCCTAAGCCCACCATTAGCAGATATTGTCTTCTTTGGGTTTTTCCTTATGAGATTCCCTTCAAGGTTTTAAAACGTGTCTGCTAAAAAGAGGTAGGACCCCTAATTTCACCTCCCTTTGGGGCCTAGTGTTCTCACTGGCACACCGCCTGGTGTCCACCCCCTTCGGGGTTCAGCCTCCTCACTGAAATATCGCCCGGTCTGGCTCTAATACCATTTGTGACAGCCCAAGCTCACCACTACCAGATATTGTCTTTTTTGGGTTCTTCCTGATGAGATTCCCTTCAATGTTTTAAAACGTGTCTGCTAAAAAGAGGTAGGACCCCCAATTTCACCTCCCTTTGGGGCCAGCGTTCTCACTGGCACACTGCCTGGTGTCCATCCCCTTCGGGGTTCAGCCTCCTCACTGAAACATCGCCTGGTCTGGCTCTGATACCATTTGTGTCGGCCCAAGCCCACCACTAGCAGATTTCCCCTCAAGGTTTTAAGACGTGTATGCTAAAAAAAGGTTTCCACACCCTTATAAAGAATGCTTCGTTCCCCTCTCCAACTGATGTGGGATCTCACACCGAAACACGACCCTTTAATCAAGTGAGTTTCTTTTTAGAATTCTTTCGTTTTCAACTGTGAGAACGTTCGAGTGTCTATATAAGTTCTAATTAACTTCTCTGTCAATATCAGTGGCCATTTTCCTGATTTTGCTAACTTCAAACCTGTGTTTGTACGGTTTTGTGGACTATTTTAGCCGTTACTCACTCGGCATGTTGTATAGTAACTTGGTAACTTGACCTTGTTGAATGATGAAAGTCTCACATCGGCTAATTTAGGGAATGATCACGAGTTTATAAACAAAGAATACTCTTAATGAATTGCAGGTGATACTGCAAATAAGATTGGAACCTATAGTCGATTCCGTTCTTTGTGGCTACACCATTGACTTCCATAGACTTATCCCTTTCTTCCGGAGAAGAAGTTGTTGTACTCTCGTGGAGGTCTCCCCGAGCAAGGCGCTGCGTTTGGCATCGCTGTCTGGAACCCCGCTTTTGACATTACTCTTGTTAGAAATCAGGACTCTCCACAATGGTATGATATTGTCCACTTTGAGTATAAGCTCTCGTGGCTTTGTTTTGGGCTTCCTTAAAAGGCCTCGTATCAATGGAGATAGTATTCCTCGCTTATAAATCCATGATCTTCCACTAAATTAACCAACTGCTGTTGACATGTTTTGTCTTTGAAGGGAGTCATCACGAAGGAAGATTCTGATTCTTTCGACGTATAGGAGTTTGTTCGAAAGACAGCGGAGACGTCTACGTAGAGAACCGGCCTCCCTTGTGGACGACATGCTATTCTGCAGGTATGCTTGAAAGAAAAATGAACCATATATCTTGAATTTTGAGGCGAACTGCATTATTGTTCTTGTTTATCAGAATTTATAGATACAAGAATGTAGTTGATCATATCTTTGGCAATTCATGGCTCTCTTTCTGAAGGTCTAATAACAGACCAATCTGATATACAACATGCTCATATTCTGGCTTAGTTTCCATTGCGTAATGAATGAAGTAAAATGTAACAGCCGTGCACCGCTAAGTAATATTGTCTTCTTTAGGCTTTCCCTTTCGGGCTTTTACTCTAGGTTTTTAAAATGCCACTATTAGGGTGAGGTTTCCACATCCTTATAAGGAATACTCTGTTCCCCACAATCCACTCCCTTTGGGCTCTCGGCACACTGCCCAGTGTAGGTGGCCCAGCGTCCTCTCTGGCACACCGGCCCAATGTCTGGCTTTGATACCATTTGTAACAAGCCAAGCACACCGCTAGTGGATATTATCCTCTTTGGGCTTTCCTCTTCAGGCTTCCCCTCACAGTTTTTAAAACGTGTCTGTTAGAGAGAGGTTTCCACACTCATAAGAATGTTTCGTTCCCCTCTCCAATAGACGTGGAATTCTTACCTTGAATTATGGTTCTTCTCTGTTCTCTATGCATGCGTTATACATCTGGGAAACTGATGATGTTCTAACTAGTATAATCACTTAAGAAAATCGTGATGAATACATCAACAAAATTGCATAGAGATAGGTTTGCACTGCAGCACACACTTGATGGAGCCCCAATCAACACGCAAAAAGAATAGCGATGGGGTGCGAGAAACTCGGAGGGAGAATAAGATTGTGATTCAATAGAATCGAGGTCAGACTAGAGAGGGAATCTCAAGTTAAAATTCGAAAAACCTATTAAATCGATCAAAATCATTTTTGGATTTACTTTCAAGTACTTGGTGAAAAAAAAGTACATAAGTTGTAACATATCAAACCCATCGCTAGCAGATATTGTCTGATTTGGCCTAGCCATTAATCTCACAGTTTTAAAATGCGTCTACTAGAGAGGTTTTCACACCCTTATAAGCAATGCTTCGTTCCCCTCATTGGCACATGTCTGGCTCTGATACCATTTGTAACAGCCCGAGCCCATTGCTCGCATATATTGTTCGTTTTGGCCCGTTACGTATCGCTGTCAGCCTTATGATTTTAGAACACATCTACTGAGAAGAGATTTCCACACTTTTATAAAAAATATTTATTTCCTCCGTGAATTTACTTGTTTTGTTCTCTACTTTCTAACCAGTTTACAAATAACAAAACTTAATTTGGTTAGAATTTGGTCAAGAATTCAATTCTCTAGGACTAAGGAACAATGGAACAATGAGAAAACAAGTAAAACTTTTAAAAACAAGAAACAAAAAATCAAATAGTTATCCAATGAAACCTAAGAAAGAATTCATTGAGTTATATGGTTATACTCTTGGAGTTTAACAGTGGCCTATACAGCAAGCAAACATCACTAACTAAAATGGTTATTGTCACAATCGCCTTTTTCTTGGCAGCGATTATGCGGCATTCACTCCTCTAGCACTGACAAGACAATTGGCCTACGAGAAAATGTGAAAATGTCTTGGGTCGGAGGGCAAAAGAGAACAAAGAATGGAGCTGGTGCAGAGAGGAGGACTTGAATCTCTGTCTCGAAACACTCAAAAAACAGAAAAAACAGACCGCCATGCACATCAATTTGTAACCATTCATCGATTCCAACACCAAAAAAGATTCCTTTTTATGAACATAGGATGAGCCAACATGTGTCCCCCGACCGACGAGGAGGTCGGCAGACACAGACAGCAGCTCCCAATCGGATACTATGACTGTTTTTGTTGCTTGTCGCATCAAAACAGAGTCGCATGGCTTTCCTTTTCTGATAGATACCCAATTTTCAATCTTGCAGGTTAAAAATGAAATGGCTTTCTCCTTCCCATCATCATCATCATCATCATCAGCCCACCCCCACTTCCATGTCTGCCCTTTTCTGACTCGTTTCATCTCCTTTTTGCTGTCGGTTTTTAAAGACAAAACCAAAACGAACCAGACATTGTTGTGTTTAATAATGCTTTTAATAACAGTCTTGTGTTTGTAAACGTTTCGGGAATCCAAACGTTGTTGGAAAAGTTCAATGGCTAAGAAGCATAAATAAAGCTCACCAGATTGAAAACAGAGTCTATCTGAGATCAGAGCAGAACAGAGTCTAATGGGGTTTCTTATTCTCATCCAATGACCTTAAAAACTCCGAGTTTTTTTCTTTTTTTTTTTGTTCTTTTTTTTCTATTAAGTTGCGGAAATATAATTACCAATTATTTGGGCTGGTTTAATGGCAATAAATCTTATGCTTAAACCCTTATTATAGCAATGCATTTACTCCAAATTGGAAAGTGCCAACAGCCCAATTGCCAATAAATGATAAATCCTTTTGCTTGTCCTCTGGTTTTCTCTCCCTCTTCCCTAACTGAACACACAAGAGCAGAGGAAGCAGATAAGACTTCGTTGTCATGCTGCTGGCGATGGCGTTGCCAAACTCCGACTCTCAGGCGGCAGCGGCGGTGGAGTGTACGGCGGAGGTCAAGTGTGTGAAATGCTATTCCTGCGGATTTACAGAGGATTGCACCCCTGCTTACATTTCTCGAGTTCGTGATCGCTTCCATGGGCGGTGGATCTGTGGGCTCTGCATCGAGGCGGTGAAAGACGAAGTTGTGAGGTCGGGGACGCTTATCTCCACCGAAGAAGCGCTGAGCCGACACGCGAGTTTCTGCAGAGAGTTCAGATCGACGAACCCCCTGGATGAAACAGAGCACCCCATCTCCGCCATGGGGCGACTACTACGGCGGAGGTTGGATTCTCCCAGAGTGCTCCGGTCGAATTCTAGCCGTGTAATCAAACTCAAACCGATTGTCGACATCGGTGGTCCGGCCAGACTCCAACGTTCCGGGAGTTGCTTTCCTTCCTTGTCTAGTTAAAAAAAAACAGAGTAACATGTACAAGCTTCTAACTTGCTTTAATGGGTGGTTTCAATTCGACTTCTCCCATGATTTTCAACTCATTTAAACAAATGGGTGTCGGAATCTGAGGAGTAAACTGACAATTTCTAGCGTTCTGATTCGTAAATTTCATCTTAGTTTTCGTGTTTGTAAATCGTAACGAAACAGAGTATGTTTGTGTTTGCTTGAAAAGTTGAAAGGGAAATGAATCGAAGTGTGTAGATTGATCAATGAATGAAAACGCGTTGAAACGAATGGAAAAAAGTTGAGAAGATCGAAGAATGTTGCGTTGGCGATCGTGTAAGCACTGCGCTGTTGCCATTGTCTGAGGTATGAAGCTCTGTTTTGGGTAATTCAGTTATGGAAGTGGCTGGCAATGGTTATGCTTTCTTGTCTGTTTTGGAGAGAGAGTCAGGTGTGCCAGCTCGCATGGAATTTATGATAATTAATTGGCTAGGTTACATTATTTTTAATCCCAGTAAAAAAAAAAAAATTAATCCTAGTAAAAAATATTTAACTTATCATTATCTTCCACGTCATGCCAAATCAACAAATATTAGCTAACGTTATTAACGATAATGTCCAGATGCAACACATTTAAATTTAAAACAATTAATTAAAATATTTTGAAATTTAAGACGTAAATCTTAATTTATATTATAGGTTTTGTAACGTTCTAATGAACTATAAGATTTAATTATCCGGAATCTTCTAGACATTCTATTTTTAGACCTAATTAAAAATAAGTTTCGAAATTAATATAATTAAAAAAAAATAAACCATTTGAAAAATAAATAAACCAATGCAAAGGGTATAAAGATTCCGCCTTTTCTTTGAAGAATCGTTTGATCGGGTCGGGCGAGTTCGGTTGCGCCGTCGTACTCCGCCACGCGTGTCGGCTACTCGTACCCCGCCAATCTTCTTCTCCCGCGTTCATGTCGTGGATCACTGGTAATAACTTGATTGACCTTTTCAATTTCTTTCCATTCTAATCCAACAATTTTCGTCGAAGTTCTTGGGGATTTCCTCCGATTTTTCCTTTTGCCTCCTCCTCTTGACCTTTCTCTTTTACGCCGGCAGCTATCGTCGTAAAACCCTAATGTTTGTGCTCTCAATTGTTCTACATTCATCTTTCAGCTCAAACATCATCTCTATGCGTTGATTCAATCCTATCTTCCGATTGTTTTGCTGCAATTATTGTTTGAATTTTGCATCATCTAGTCGTGGCTAGGGTTTCGAACCTTTGTTTGTGATTTGGGTTCCAGTTTTCTGTTATTGACGACCTCTGAAGCAACTATTGGCTTTATTAATCGGTTGCGGGTGGAAGATTATGACTAGAACGTATGCAATTTCTGGAGCGAGAAACTTTCGATATCGAGGGATTTTTCATGGAATTTGCTCCATTGTGTTGCTTTGTTTATACCTTAATCAGGGGAAGTTCTTGAGAAATCCGTTTGATCAGAATTCGCATTCGGTTCTTCCCCATAAATGGACCATTGGTGATAAGCAGGCTGGGGTGATTCATAGGCGAATAACTGAAGTCTCTGCTTCTTCTCTAAACAATACCATCGGTGTTGATGGACTTCTTACAAATAATAATAACACCGGGAGTCGTCCCCTATTATGCGTTGGCTTATCCGAACACAAAGGTTATCAGAGCCGATGTGAGTACTTGATTGCCCATCCCGATTGCAATTCAGGGGGATTTTTCAATTATATCGCATTCTTCTACTGTGACTGTGAAGGTTTTAGACTTTTGGGTTATGTGGCTTTGATAATTTGGCTTGCTGCGTTGTTCTATCTATTGGGTAATACCGCAGCTGACTTTTTTTGTTGCTCCTTGGAGAAACTGTCAAATCTTTTGAAGTTGCCAGCGACTGTGGCCGGAGTGTCGTTGCTTCCTCTTGGTAATGGAGCTCCTGATGTCTTTGCCAGCATTGCTGCTTTTATGGGAAAGGATGCTGGTGATGTTGGTCTTAACAGTGTCTTGGGTGGAGCTGTCTTTGTAACTTGTATCGTTGTTGGTGCTGTTTCTCTTTGTGTTGCCGAGAGGGACATCAGGATTGATAGGAAATGCTTTATCAGAGACATATGTTTCTTCATGTTTGTCATCATCTCACTTGCTATAATTTTGGCGTTTGGTCGGGTTACTGTCATCAGTGCCATTGCGTTTGTTTCGATTTATTTAGTCTATGGATTTGTAGTTGCTGCAAATGAGATTTTGGAGAATGACCCAGTAAAAGTGACACTGAACTCCTTGACACCTTTGCTTCCTGTAACTGGAAGCATTTTCTCTGTTGGGAGTGACGACGAAGAATCGGTCTATACAACTCTGCTTGATTACGAGGCTGATGGTGATGTACCACATCTCCAAAATAAACTGCCACAATGGATGTGGTCTTCACATGTTGCAATCTATTCAAATCAGGCTATGAAGGGCAGTGTTGATAGTCCAAAATTTCTGTGGGGTTGGAATGATGAGAATACAGCAACTGACCACTCATTGTTTTCCTGGTCCAAATTATTTTCACTTCTTGAACTTCCATTGATACTCCCAAGACGTTTGACCATTCCCATTGTCGAGGAGGAACGGTGGTCCAAAGTCTATGCTGTTGCCAGTGCTACGCTAGCACCCGTTCTTCTGGCATATTTATGGAACACCCAAGATGCTCTAGGACCTCTGAGTGGAAAACTTGCCTACTTTTTTGGGTTTTCCCTTGGCGGTGTGCTTGGTGTCCTTGCATATTTGTATACAAGCTCTGGTCATCCACCTCGCAGGGCTTTGTTTCCATGGGTCTTTGGAGGATTTTTTATGAGCATCGTCTGGTTTTACATCGTTGCAAATGAGCTAGTTGCTTTGTTGATGACATTAGGTTTAATTTTTGGAGTCAACCCATCAATTCTTGGATTAACAGTGCTGGCCTGGGGGAACTCAATGGGGGATTTGATGTCCAATTTAGCACTGGCAATGAATGGTGGAGACAGTGTACAGATTGCTATGTCTGGGTGCTACGCTGGGCCTATGTTCAATACTCTTGCGGGGCTGGGTACCTCCATGCTTCTTGGAGCCATTTCCCGTAGACCTGCAGCTTACATGCTTCCTAGAGATAGTAGCTTGTTTTACACATTGAGTTTTTTAATGTTAGGACTCATTTGGTCAGTTGTTGTGTTACCTAGGAACGGTATGCGCCCGAACAAAAATCTAGGAGTTGGCTTGATTGTTATATATTTGTCGTTTCTCATCCTCAGGGTGAGCACGTCAATGGTGAATCCCTGATGCTGGCAATAAATGTTTGTTTAAACTAATCATAGGCGTCTCAACTAAAAGCTGGCCATTGTAACGTGCGATTCAATTAAATGGTAGCCAAAAGTCAAGGACGTTCTCTGGACCCTGAACAGTTATTAAGACAATAGATGATGTTATAGGAGATCATGATGCCTTGACTTTGCATCATCAGCCTGTTAATATCATGATTTGTATATCATAGCATTGTTTAGTGAAATGAAGTTGTATATTTTTTCCTTTTAAACTCTCTTTATCTGAAGTTTGCATAAAACATGATTCTTGAGCTAGGAGATTGTGGTAGGACACTCTCATTTCGGTTCAACAGTGCAACCCAAACAACCATTTTTAGTTTTAGTCCGTAAAGTCTATCGAAATCGGATTCAGTTTATGAAGGGCTCATATTCTTGAATGCAAATGCTTTCCATAATTTTCTGTGATATTTCCTCTGTGAACTGTAATGGAGGTTTTTATTTCAATAAACATATGCTTACCTTCGGTGCCAAGGCACTGGACGTTCATTATGGGGTACTATTGGGTCGGGTGAATTTAATAATAGACGGCTGTTGGTTTTCCAGTCTTCCTTCTCCTTTCTGAGCCTATTCGAAAGAGAATCTAGTGTTTCTTGGCCGTGAATATCTAATATGAACAAGCTCATTCTGTCGTTTGTATTATTAAAAGTTGATATGATATATTCAGCTACTGTTGCCTTTGCCTTGCTTCATCTACTCTTATATGGCAGCAACGATCTCAAAGCAAGGCAAATGGGAGATCAGAAGGCAGTGGAGAAGGTAAAGAGTTCAATTACATTTACAGGACAAATGCTATAAAAGCTAAAAGAATACATTGCTGTTAACAAAATATGCAGATCCAGTTCATGGTGACGAACGAAATGGAGTCCGGCCACAAATCTACAGTTCAATCATGATGGAAGGGCGACGAGCAATTGCCATCGTCCCCTTTCTTAAAAATTCAGCAGCTGGTTGATTCGCCATAGATGTTGTCGAGAATGGCAACAACTCCAACAATAAAGGCCTGATCGACTCCAGGTTTTATTGAAACATAATAGATATCCTTGCTCAACTGCTCTCCAGTCTTTTTAATCGTTCCGATCTGCAGTTATTCGAAGCATGATTAATATACATCTCTAACATGTAACTCTGTATGAAATATATTAGCTTTACTGAGGGAACAGGACCAAAATCAAGTACAGCTACTCTCTTCAGTTATATTTAGGCTGTATGGGACAGTATTAAGCCATATGTGGGCTGTTGCAGTGAAGGTTCATTTGGTAGATAGCAAGCTACAACTTCGACAAACAGGTACCTGTTCCTATTTTCCAGTAACCATGTGAGGTCCTACATCGGTTGGAGAGGGAAACGAAGCATTCCTTATAAGGGTGTGGAAACCTTTTCCTAGTGGACGCATTTTAAAACCTTGAGGGAAAGTCCAAAGAGGACAATATCTGCTTGTGGTGGGCATGGGCTGTTACAAATGATATCAGACCCAGACATTGTGCAGTCTGCCAGCGAAAACGCTGGGCCCAAGAGGAATGGATTGTGAGATCCCACATTGGATAGAGAGAGGAACAAAATGTTCCTTCTAAGGGTGTGGAAACCTTTCCCTAGTGGACACGTTTTAAAACCTTGAGGGAAAGCCCTTGAAGGGAAAGCCCTTGAAGGAAGAACCCAAAAAGAACAATATCTACTAGTAGTAGGATTGAGCTGTTACAAATGGTGTCAAGCCAGACACCGGTCAGAGAGGACGTTGGGCTCTAAGGGAGGTGGATCAGGAGGTCCCACATTGGTTGGAGAAGGGAACAAAACATTCCTTTTAAGGGTGTAGAAACCTCTCCCTAGTGACGTGTTTTAAAACTTTGAGGGGAAGCCCTTGAAGTGAAAGTCCAAAGAGGACAATATCTACTAGCGGTGGGCTTGGGCTTGGGCGGCTACAACCCACGTACCATCCCCATAACAGAAGGCTAACTTTTTGCTTCTTTAGAATAAAACTTTCAGCGAATGCATGCTTAGTATATGGTTTGTAAATAGTAATCTGTAGTTTATAGTATATTTTCTATTCCATAGTAGGGAATATAATCTCACCTGAGCTACTGCATTGCCTTGTGAATCAATGATGCTGCATCTTCTATCTGGGAAATATCCACTGACCTCGAAGTCCCAATCTTTTCTGCTAACCTTTGGTTTTGTTGTTATTCTGATTCCAACATCGTTTTTCACAGGAAGACATGACTTGGGTCTTCTCAAGCTGAAAACCAGCTTTTTAGATCCTTGGAAGTCATATTTGTAAGCCTTCCATATCTTATGAAAGCTTAGAGCCTCAAAAATCCCTCCCTGAAACACAATAAGATGAAGATTTTCAACACATACTCACAGTATAACATCCACATTCCACTTAGAACACTGTTCTGAATCGTCCAAAAAGACTTGTTTAGGGAATGAGTAGAGTAATTGGATATTACCTTCCCACGGAGTAAAAGCAAAGCATCCCTCTTCTCATCCCTCACAACCAGCTCTTCTTCTTTTCCCAGAATCCCACACCCATCAACACTGAAAACAACTTTCTGATTACAATCTGTCACAACAAAACCTCCTCCATTAATGACGTGTGGTCTCGTCCTAACGATAAACACAACCTCGGAAGACGAACAGTAGAATTTGCTAACTAGGGGAATCATCTTCTTTCCAATTGTAGCAAAACGATGATTATTCGTTCGTCTGTCCTGCAATTTATGTGGCTCTAAACAGCCAGCCTGGCTATGTTTTCAACAGGGTTTGGCAAATGATTGACTGCTTCTCATATTCAAGGTTTGAAAAAGAATACTAATTGCTTTAAGTTGTGGTTGCTTGTTTCAGATCACAACAAATAGTTCACGCACTGTTAGTTTAGTTTAGCCAATAGAAAGAGAGAGGGCTCTGGGAGTTATTCCACTTGCACTTTGTCTTCCATTGCTAGATGCTAGAAAATTTTCAGCCAAAGAAAAGTCATAAAGAAAGATTCTTTCTAAAGCTTATCTTGAGAAAACAAGCAATAGTTTTTCAGAAGTTTGTGCTAAGAATCCTTCTGGTAAAAGTCATAAAGGCATCGACTTTGACAATCTGTGAGTTCTAGTTCAAAATGAGCTCTAATGAAGGGATTTGATTGGAGTAAGAAGATCCCATATGTAACGGTTCAAGCCCATTGCTATAAGATATTGTCTTCTTTGGGCTTTTTCTTTCGGGTTTCCCCTCAAAGTCCTTAAAATGCGTATGCTAGAGAGAGGTTTCCACACCCTTGTAAAGTATGTTTCGTTCTCCTCCCCAACCGATGTGAGATCTCACATTCACCCACTTCCCTCGTGTGCAGCATCCTCGCTGACACTCGTTCCTTTCTCCAATCGATGTGAAACCGCCCAATCCACCCCTTTCGGGGCTAAGTGTTCTCGCTAGCACACCACCCGGTGTCTGGCTATGATACCATTTGTAACGGCCCAAGTCCACCCTAGTATATATTGTCCTCTTTGGGCTTTCTCTCTCGGGTTTCTCCAATCGATGTGGGACCCCCTAATCCACCCCCTTCAGGGCTCAGTGTCCTTGCTGACACACTGCGTCGTATCCACCTCCCTTCGGGGCTCAGCCTCCTCGCTGGTACACAACCTGACGTCTAGCTCTAATACCATTTGTAATGATCCAAGCCCACTGTTAACAGATACGGTCCTCTTTAGACTTTTTCTTTCAGGTTTTCCCTCAAGGTTTTTAAAACGCGTCTATTACAGAGAGGTTTTACACACTCTTATAAAGAATGTTTCGTTCTCTTCCCCAATCGAAATGAGATCTCACACTATGTCTATAGTTTCCGAAGGAAAACGTTTGAGTAAAGTAATGAAAGCACCATCAGAGAATATTGCCAGCTTAAAAAACTTTTGACTGGTTTACAGAGAGAACAGTGGTTCCATTTCTAACCATTGAATACTATCCTTGAATGCCCTTTGAAAATGAAGCTTCCTTTCAATCTTCTTTGGATTTCTTACTTTTGACTTCATGGGTGTTGCGTCCCTTCCCTACCAAGAAACAATGTCTCCAGATCATCCGGTGCAAAGTACACAAATTCAAACTTAGCTTAAAGAAAAACTTTTAACTATTCCTATTATCCATCTGTCAATTTAAATGATAGTGATTGATCCATGCACAAACATATTTAGGTTCGGGTCGATTAAGTTTCTATGTTTCTTTTTGTAATTTTATAACCTCTCTTATTCTTAGTTCACATCCAACACGTGGAAGGTTCAAATATGACTTAACTCGTTGAGCTAGGATCATGTTGACAATAATCTATCCCATTGATTGTAAGTTTGAATACCCACTTTCTCGTTTTGAATTGTAACACCTGTTTTTTAAAATTACTTTTAAATAAGACTTAGAATCGATAATCTATACAGAGAGACCGCTAGACGATATTGTTCGTTTTGGCCCGTTACGCATTGTCGTCAGCCTTACAGTATTAAAATGCATATACTAGGAAGAGCTTTCCACACCCCTCTTGGGGGCCACCGTCTTTGCTAGCACACCACCCGGTATCTGACTCTGATACCATTTGTAATAACTCAAGACCACCGCTAACAAATATTGTCCGCTTAGGCTCGTTACGTATCGCCGTCAACCTCACAGTATTAAAACGTGTCTACTAGAGAGCTTTCTACACCATTATAAAAAATGTTTCATTCCTCTCTCCCAACCGACGTAGGATCTCACTTTATAATTTGAGTCATTATAATAACGAGGTTGTAACATAATATGAAATCAATTTGATGGATGAAATATGTAACATATATCAACATTCTTCTAGTAAAATATGTATTAAAAAAATAATTTATGAGGCGTTTGACAGTCGGTTTTTGTTCATAAAGGTAATTTTTTTTAATTTTCTTTGTATAAAGGTAAAAATTTAATGAAAGCGTAAAGGCCACTTTTATTAAAAAAATAATTTATGATCTCGAGTTTCGAATCTATACTTGAATCTGCAATTTTTTGCAATGGTTACCCAGTCGAATACGCCGCTGCCCCACTTCCTTTTTGTCTTGATCATCTGTTTCTATTCCATTCGACGCTCCAAATGTAAGAGCAGACCAGACCCCCTCCGTCACCGTCGGTTCCAAATTCTCAGAGCCCCATAATCGTTCTGTTCATGTGATTTTCCATGCTCTGATAATGGGCCAGACATTGGGTGCTTTTCATCGCAATTTGATTTGATATCAGGCCCGGGAACGCTCTTAAGCCCGTCGCCGCGCTCACACGCACACCAACTGTTTGTAGAAATGTCAGGTATATTTCTTTTCCCCGTTTGTTCGGGTAGCTTGGAGCTTTTTGGTTTTCGATGTGTATTATTCAGTGTTTGCATTACGTTAATCTGTAGTTTCCTCTTTGTCTAGCTCGAGATGCTGATTCGCATCCGAAGCAACAGCCTTCTCCCCTCTGTAAGCATTTCTCCTCCACGTGCGTTCTGAGCTACCTACTTTCCATTTTGCTTCTTTGCTAGAAACCATATTTCAACGCCCAAAACAGCTAAAGAAACAAGGCATAGCAACTTAGTTAGTTGGGGTCATTTCTTTTTACTCCATTACTGCTAAAGAATGAGCAAACTCCAAAATTTCACTTACCCAGATGCCTATACTTAGCAAACTAGTCTTATACCGGCTTAGGCACGCCAGGCACAGGCTTTTCTCATAGCCATCTTTACGTTCTTAATGGAAAACAGAGTTTTTTTCAAGAATATTTTAACCTCTTTTCTCAATTTCTCTCATGAAAGAATGCTACTGCCTCGAGTCGTGAAAAGGCTCGTATTTTCACTTAAGTCTGTGACAATAATGGCTCTCTTTCTGTCCTTATTATCACTTGCATCGTTAAGAACTCTGCAGCCCGGAACTTGGTACATACATTATGTGCTGTGTTTTACTTGCAGAGAGGCTTTCTTTTTGTGGGCTGTAACTATCTTTGTCAGCCTTTCTTATTACTTCTCTGTCACTACCCATGTAAGATCATTCATACCTAACATCAATTGCCGCTTTAGTTTGTCACTTGCTTTTACAGTTTCTGCTTTCTTATTACTTATATTTCTGCTGCTATTGCAATTCTCTGCTGTTTTCTTTCTCATCTGTGCTCTGTCTTTCGGTGATTGGAAACTTGGTTTCTATCAGGGTCAGGTGCCCTGAGATCAAGCAATGGCTGCTCGGTCGGTTTACTCTTCATCAGTGTCTTCGCTACCACCCCCAAGTCCGAAATCTCCGCCTGACTACCCGGATTTGTATGGGAAGCGTCGAGAGATAGCCAGGATACAGAAGCTTGAAGGAGAAATTGGTTTCCTTGAGGTGAGTTCGAATTGAAATGATTATCTCTGTTTTCATCAACTCACAATGACATGGTGACATCGGAAAGCTGATGTACAATTGCAAGCATTTCTCTTTTTTGTTATTAGCATTGCTAATTAGACTCAAAATCTGATCTTTTGGTTTGATTTAGAGAGCTAGTGTCCCTTAGAGTTTTAGAACAGATTCGATAATCTTAGAACTTCCATTTCGTGGTATAAAGCTTCTCCGAGACCTTCATAGAAAAGTACTGTCGATGCGTTACACATTTCTTGTTTTCTTGAATCAGGACGAACTAAAATCCATTCGAAGTCTTCAACCTGTCTCAATCAGCTGCAAAGAGTATGTTTCTCTTAAATTTCATCATCTTTTAATTTATTGAAGTTCTAATGTTTTCTTTCAGTTGACTGAACACAATCAATTAGGTATCGATCCATCCACTCTTTCGTTTCCACTGTTGATTAACATTACACTTTTGCAGGATTAGTGACTTTGTAACGGCCAACTCAGATCCATTGATGCCTACGTAAGAGTTCATTTTTCAGTAAACAAATCTGCATAAATTTAAGACTGCATTGATCATGATCCACGTCGATGTTTCTTTTTTCAAGCAGATATAGGACAAAACATCGGCGATATCGCATCTGGAAATGGTTATGGTTAGAACTTTCAACATACGAATTCTGATTCCAGCTTATTATCACTTAGAAAAATATTTTGTATATAACATTTTGTTACGATTGTCATGCAGCGGACTTCCTTGCTTTAATTTGTCATGGCTGTGCTGCTGCTCTTGCACTGGGTGCTCTGTCTACCTAGAGATGTCTCGCAGCAGTGATTGCAAACCATGCAAGTTTCCATCATGTTTAAGCTGTTGTAGCATGCCGAAGTGTAGTTCCTTCTCTTGTCCCTCTTTGTCCTGCTGTAGAAACATCTCGTGCCGTAGGTTGTGTTGTTTTATATCATTACCTTCACTTTCATGCCCCCCTTGTTGCAGCTGCTGCGAATGCAAATGCAACTGCAAATGCAGCTGTAAGTGCTCTTTTCCAAAATGTTCCCAGGTATCTTCTTGTCGCCTCTGCACAAAGTCCTGTTGCAACCCCTGCTCTTTATGCTGTTGCTTTTAGTTCAGCAACACTATTCCATATAGTTTATCTTGATCTTCTACATGATATAATCAGTGTACATTATGATGAATATCTTAATCTGCTGGATTATTGATGCAAATATTTTGAGTTGTTTAATCCTACTCTGCTGGATTATTGATGCAAATCATTGAAACTGGCTGGCCTCGTTATAAAACATGTTCATCATTGCTGTTTTGTCTAGTTTTTAGTGGAGGAGAGGGAAATTTGGGAGTTATAGGCATTTGTAAGTAAAAGCACACACTTAACTGGCCTTCATGTTTTTGAATTTTCCTAACAGGACCGACGGTAACAGTAATTCTTAGATAACTAGGAAAAGAAGTGCCAAATTTTATGCATTACATTAGTTTTGACTCTCCCCAGGCCTTCCCCTAAAGCATCTCAATGGCAAACCAAACGCTGAATTTTCCCATGCAATGATATGATCATTCTCTCTGGCTGATTGCTGATCATATCATCTTCTTGCTGTTTTCTTTCTGAAATTGGAGAAAGTTGGAGGAATGGAAAAACCTACAAATGGAAAACGCCCTATACAAAAACAACAATCACAACTTGGTCCAGGCGAATGCCACCGGGCTTCTAACTTGGTGTTGGTCATTGCTCCAAGCAATCGATCCAAACCCATATCTCGTGGTTCGAGCAGCGTCCCTGCTCGCCACGAATGTAACAGTGTACCTCTTCCTCTCCCCAACTTTAGAGAACACAAGCTTTGAAGGTTTCACCGTCACCTTCACAACCGACGGTGCAGTAGTAGCCACTTCATAAACTGACCCTGCAGCCCCAACATTGGTAACTATACGAGTGTACCGGACAACCCTCTTGCTCCCAAACACAACTGAAAATGAAGGGTAGTTTAGTTGCCCTGGGTCAGCAAACTTTTTCAAGCAGGTTATGTTCGATCGCTTCGCGATTGCCTGAACATGATCGATCCCATAGTCCAAGGAGCACAAAAAGGTAATATAATCATTGGTCGAGATGTCGTATACAAGACCGGGGGAGAGGGCTTTGTGAGGATCAACATGGCCAGCTCCATGAGCCCATGGATTGGAAAACGCCCCTCCGGCAGCATCCCGGAGAGATGAGTTGGTGTTGTCCTGCGTGTAGGCAGTGGTCATTAATGCAGACTTGATTGCGCTTGGACTCCATGATGGATGAGCTGCCTTCAGCAACGCCGCCAGCCCACTTATGTGCGGGCAAGACATGGATGTTCCTACATACATAGCAGAAGATTTATCAGGCCAGAGTGGACCAGAGAAGTTGGGATAGAGCCAGCCATTCAGAATCGGGACATACCTGACATGATATTGAACTGAGTTTTCCTCTTATCGTTGTCCAATCCAGTAGGCCCGATGGACTCAGACCAGGCGGCCAGGATGTTAACGCCAGGCCCTATAACGTCCGGCTTAAGGATTTGGGGCGTTACCAAGTTGGGTCCTCTGGAACTGAAGGCCGCCACCACTGGAGATGGGCGCACGTTCAGAACTGTCCCACCAAAGCTCAGCACGGCCGTCGGCTTCGCTACTGACCGTACATACTGCCGGATCAAGTCGCCGGTTTTCGCCCCAACCGCCACGGCCGGCAGTAAGTGACTGTCAGCCACCAGTTCTTCCCCACTGGCTGCCGTGTTTGCCAGAATCATCCCAATGCCACCTGCATCTCTCACCACCCCTCCCTTCTCTACTCTGGCGTTGATTCCCCTGTCGCAGATTACCACTTTCCCCCGAACAAACGCCGGCTCAAGAGATCCGGGTAAGCACATGTTGCTGGAGCTGTTGCTTCCTTTGTTGTACACCAAAGCCACCGGTTTATTTCCCATTCCTTGGCCACTGTAGAGTGACACTCCAGTGAACCGCTTGCCATTTCCGAGTTGGACATAAGCTGGGAAGTCTCGGTCCAGAGTTCCGGCTCCGACTGTCATGATCCACGGGGCCACATTAGCCAGAGACGCCTTGTTTGGCCCACTGTTTCCAGCTGAGCACGAAACGAAAACCCCCTTCTCCATGGCCGCAAATGCTCCGATTGCTATTGTATCCCTGTAATACGGTGCAGAGCCACCGCCCAAAGAGAGTGATAGCACATCGACGCCGTCAGATATTGCCCGATCCATACCGGCAAGAATGTCAGATCCAAAGCAACCAGTGGGCCAACAGGTCTTGTAAGCGGCAACTCTTGCTTGAGGAGCCATTCCCCTAGCTATACCTCTAGCATACCCAAGTAGGCTCGCGTTAGCCACATGTGACCCAGCAGCTGTGCTCGCAGTGTGCGTGCCGTGCCCATCCTGGTCACGAGGCGACTCGTTCTCTCTGGATTTTCTAAAGTATCCACCACCGGAAGCCATTTGATAACCCTTCGAGAAGCTGCGAGCTCCGATTAGTTTCTTGTTACAGAGAGAAGGGCTGAAATCGGGTCCCGATTCACATTCTCCACGCCACCGTGATGGGATCTCCGGCATCCCGGTGTCATCAAAGCTCTTCGACTCCGGCCAAATCCCAGTATCGAGAACCCCAATGATGACATCATGAGAAGCCTGGTCGAGATCCTGAGTGTTGTGACCTTCCCACAAGCCGAAATCGGAGTCGAGGCCGAGGAAACCCGGAGTGCGAGTTGTGTGAAGATTGTAAACAGTGTCTTCATAGACACCCAGAACTGAATCGGATTGGCGGAGCAATTCGGCTTCATCTGGGTCAAGAGAAGCAGCGAAGCCATGGTAGGCGGAGGTGTAGGTGTAGAGAAGGGAATCGGAGGTAGCAGAGGAGGACAGAGATTGGAGATGGGCAGAGTACCAGTCATGGTGGGTGAGATAATCAGATGGCAGAGCATGATGTTTCATGCGAACAATGTAGGTTCTCTTGGCATTGACAAAGACACAAGGAAGAAGAAGAAGAAGAAGAAGAAAGGAAGCAACGAGTAATCTAGCCATGGACCCCATGGGAAGGAAGGAAGGAAGAGTGGAGAAATCTCACTTAAAGCTAAGCATATAAGCAAAGCAGAGAGAGCTGAGAAGGAGAGGAATGGCCAAACACAGCTCCCAAAACAAAGCTGACTGTCAAACCAAGAAGGGGTAGAGAAGGACAGTTCTAGGACCAGTGTCTGGTTTATATAGCAAGGTAAAGTTCCAAACAAGGCTGCCATTTCCCTTTTATTACATAAACACCACCCATGATTTCTTCCTCCAAAAGGGCCCTACTTTTTAGGCTTTCGGTTCCCATGCTCAATCGTGACATTCTAAGCCGAGCCTGTGGAGTAGAACGAAATAGTGCTTAAACTTCTTTTTAGTAGACTCATTTTAAAAATTTTGAGGGAAAGTTTAAAAAGAAAAATCCAAAAAAGACAATATCTACTAATGGTAGGCTTATGCCATTACAAATGGTATCAGGCCAAAAAATCGGGCAATGTGCTAGCGAGGCCGAGCTCCGAAGGGGAGTGGACACAAAACAGTGTACCAGCAAAGACGTTGGGCCCTTAAAAAGGTGGATTGTGAGATCCCACATTAATTGAGGAGAAGAACGAAATATTCTCCTATGGAAATTTCTCGCTCGACGTGTAAAAAAAAAAAGGGGTCAATTTTGGAAGAAGACAGCCTACTACATGAGGAAAAAAGCCCACAAAATGTGCTCTTCCTCACGGGTTTAGCTTGTTTGGAAGTAACCCGTGAATGAGAATTTTGTATTGTACCTCAGATGACAGATTTTGGAAACACTGAGACTGTGAGGTTTATATGTGCAATTTTGTCTTTCCTTTCATATGAATGAATGGCTACTAAAATCACATCTCTTAATCATTTATTTACCAACATGAAAATAATACTTCAAAGGTAAGATTTGAGATTTGAGTAAAGCATTAAATCTCCTCCTCCTCCTCCTCCTCCTCCTATTCCTTTTCTTCTCTCTGTTCTTATTTCCCACACCATGACAAACCCACCTCCCCAGCTGGAAAACGCGTTATGTTTTGTCATTGCTCATTTTTTCTTCTTTTTTTTTTTTTTCTTTTCAGTTTATGCAGTGAAAATACTTTGAAGGGTTGTGTTCACATGGAAGTGGGAGAGGCTGAAATTGCTGACTATGAAAATTGCACACAAAGTGTTCGACAAAATGCCAATGAGACCGAGAAGAGGACAATTTGGTGGCATTTTGGGGGAAGTGACGAGAGGAGGGAGGGAGGGAAGGGGCTGTTTGGGGAAAGTAAAAAAGGGGTGGACACGGCAGTCAATAAGGAAAAGGGCAGATACCAAGATTGATAAATGCATGGGAGAAAGAGCCAAAATGGGTCTCTTTTTTAAAACAAATTTGAGATAAGAGGGCAGCACAACACACACACCATTTCCGTAAGGTAACGGCTACATATCGTGCCTTTTTGACTGAAACCATGCGCTGGTGGCCGTTGTGGGAATGCGATGGGACTTGCGTAGTATTCAACATAGCCAGCCCAACAAAAGGTAAAAGGAACTAGTGTTTATGTTATCTTAGTGTTAGAAATTTGAGCATTTGAATCAGCCAAATTGAATGAAAGGAGTATATGTTGCTTATAGTACTAGAAATTTGAGCGGGTTGAACCGAATGGAAGGAGTATATCTTGCTTGTAGTACTAGAAATTTGAATTGGTCAGATTGAATGGAAGGAGCCTATGCTACTTGTAGTACTAGAAATTTGAACGTGTAGGCCTGAATGGAAGGAGTATATACAACTTGTAGTACTAGAATTTGAACTGATCGTACTAAATGGAAGGAGCATATGCTACTTGTAGTACTAGAAATTTGAACGGGTAGGACAAAATAGAAGGAGGGTATACTCGACCTGTAGTACTAGAAATTTGAATAGGTCAAACTGAATGGAAGTATGTCGACCTGTAGTACTAGAAATTTGAATAGGTCAAATTGAATGGAAGAAGTATGTACTACCATAGTTCTATAACAGCTCAAGCCCACCACTAGCAGATATTGTCCTCCTTTGGCTTTTCCGTTTAAGTTTTCCCTCAAAGTTGTAAAACACGTCTACTAGAAAGAGGATTCCGCACCTTCATAAGAAATATTTCGTTTCCCTAGGCTTTCCCTTCTAGACTACCACTTCTAGGGTTTCCTTCAAAGTTATAAACGCATCTACTAGGGAGAGGATTCCGCACCTTCATAAGAACCATTCCATTCCCCTCTCGAACCAACATGAGATCTCACAAGTTCTACAAATTCAGCTCGGTTTAGATGGGCAGGCACGCCTTTCAAAAACCCATGCTTCTAATCTCGTAGTTACCCAACTCTTAATGATTCACCTTAAAAACATAATTAAGTTTGAACAACTTCCCTTGTTGGTGATAGTAGAATTGAATTGGGTAGGCATTATGGGCGTGGAGAGTGGGGTGGCTCCACCACTCAATCCCACCGTAGATGGTGGCAAGGATTGAGGTGTGGGAAAAGGCCAGGAAAAAGCGCACGCTTAGGGAATGGAATCATGGGTGGTGCCTCTCTTAAAAGAGGATATGGACACACACAGGTAAAACAGTGCCTGTATTTTATTACAGAGCCCACGCCTTCCCCCCCCCCCTCTTCTCATTCTTTGTTTATTGTTTGTTTTGTCACCGACTCCAAATTGGGATCTGTGGGAACCAACCTTTCTTAATTGTTTCTATACATCTCAATTCCCAATGCATCATATATTATTAAAATTCCTTTTCTTCTCCTTCAATCTTCTTCATCACTTGTATTTTAATGTAATTTTGGTCTCTTTCTTCTATTATTTCATTACAAATTTGCATCTAAGTCTAGGAAAAGTTTTAAAAAGAGTCTCGTGGAAAGTAAGCTCGGGTATAGCTGCTTTTGAAGCCTATAAAGTTGAGGCCTAACTATGAGCTTAGTTGGGATCTCTATGTAATTCTTAATCTGGTAGACTTTCGTTTTATTGCTTCGGACTCTGATCTATATGACTTTTGTGTGGTACAAAGTAAGTTTCTTTCGTAGAGGTAGATAGGTGAGTTGAAAATAAGCGTAGATCTAAGAGATTTACGAATAGGTCAACCTTTCAAACTTCTGCTGGATTCCTCTTTTCTTACTTAGCTGAGAGAAGATCATTTGGAAGTTAACCACAAGGAAATCGTTACTCATGAATGACCTAAATTCACTATGTCTCCGGGAAACTCTACAATAATTTGTTTATTCGATTAGTCTGAGATTTGTGCCTTGTCCACAAAATCCTTTAATAAGATAGAGCAGCCTCTTGAATATGTCTTACTTGTTCTATCCATTATCTTAAACGTCAAATTAGTTTAAATTAATTTATCTCTTGATACCATTATTTCTCGTAAATTTTTAGAAATACGATGAGGAATTAACAATATGGGTTTGTCATTAATGTGGGAGCCTAAGATCTTTGACTTCCAAGCTTGATTTGTTTGCTGTCAATTTTGACACTTTTCTCTATCATATCATTTATATTGCTATTTTGATGTGCTTTATCAATACATGTGCCATTATGTTGTATACTTCATATTCAAGTAATCATCATGTTGGGATCATTATTAAACCCTTCTTTTCTTTTGCAATTCTTTATTTCATTTAATAATTATTAAGTTAGTTTTTAATTATAGATCTCGATTTTAGCATCTCTATTCATTTTCGTATTAATTATAAGTTTAATCCATGAATTTTGAGGAGTATCTCTAGTTAGTCCTTCAACTTTCAAAATTACGAAATTAGCCTCTAAACTTAGAGTCGAAATTAGCCTTTGAACTTAGGGTTCCGTTAAACTCAAAATTCAGAATTTAGGGTTCTATTAAACACAAAACCAAATTCATATATGGTAGATTAATTGATTATTTAAAATATTAAAATAAGCTCAAGCTCACCACTAGCCGGATATTTTCATATTTGGGCTTATCCACGATGCTTTCATTGAGGTTTCCACTCTTATAATGAATGTTTCGTTCTCCACTCCAACCGACGTGGGATCTCACAATATTACTATTAACAAGTCATGTAACGAAGTAACTGAATTCAGCTGTACATACTACAAAACTCAGATGTCTCAACCTTCGAGCGTCATGTACTGTACTATCCAAAACCATAAGCTCAAATCATTCCTTAATAAGCGATACAAATCGTTTACCATATGCCGAAATAAACCGAGAAAATGGGGTATGATTCGGAGGGCCTACAACTATTATTTTTTTAACGATATTCGATTGTAGCTCAAATTGTTGAAGAGATTGGGATCATTGGGGCAATAAAAGGAAGAAGTTTCTAAGGTGGGTTTAGAAGAATGGTCCATAATTTGCTGAAATGGATGAACTGTCAATGACTTTTTAAATCCATCTTTTATTTATATTGAAAAAGTAAGGCAAGAAGAAGATGAAGAATAATTAGTACCCAAAAGTGAGATCCTTTTTCCACTCTTTTTTGGGGCAAAAAGAGAAAAAGAAACAAAAAGTGGGGTTATTTGAAAATATGAAAAGATGTAAGCCCTTTTTGGCAAATTGAGTGAAATGGGTCTTAGTGGACCTTTTTAATTGTGAGATGAAGATGAAGCCAGCTGAAAAGGCACCCAAAGGGATGGTAGGTTTTGCCCTAATAATTAGTTTAATTATAGTGTCATTGGGATGATGTTGCTCTAAGTGGAGCCTTACCTACAACCACTTTAACTGGCACACACGAACTTGTCAATTTAAGTATAGTTAGTTGTCATTTTAATGGTCGATGATTCAACCCTTGTTTTCTCGTTATAGGTATTGCAAATTTGAGCGTGGTTCAGTGGTTTAAGGCATTTGTTATCATCTCGACAATCCGATAGTTGGTGATTCAAATTAAAAACCCTTGTCTGTCAGATCACACATTTGTTGAAGAGGGGGAAGGAAACACTCTTTATAAGGGTGTGGAAATATCTTCCTAGTAGACGTGTTTTAAAAATCGTGAGATTGACAGCGGTATGTAACGGGCCAAAACAGACAATATTTGCTAGCGGTGGACTTGGGCTGTTACATTATCCTTGGATTAATAAGCACTCTCTGAAGAGGGGATGAGAATCCAAGTATAGTTCAGTGGTTAAAAGCACTGCTTATAATCGATGATTC